TGCTTCTTTAATGAGAAGTTTTAGATTACTTGATGCAACAAAACCAGGTTGACTTTTGCGAAAGCTCTGTTACAATTTTTGGTAGAGTAATTTATCTCCACATTCCCTGAATGCTTCAATTTTCTTCCTTAGGCACTGAGAGGATAAATCTAACAAAAATGCAATTTACTTTGATTTATCTAACACGGTTGGAAATTCTAAAGCTGTAAGATCAAAATTGTCCAAACAAACTTTAGGTTACAGCTAAATGTTATGTCTTCTATGCATGTCCAATTTGACTAACATTGGATTCTTGAACAAGGATTTTAGAAGCGAGATTGAAAGGCTCTAGTGGGTTTTCATCACCACGGAATGAAAACGGATTAAATATTTCTCAGTANNNNGTACTTGATTTTCACTACCGATATGTGAACGATCTTGCGGTTATCTTCAATCTTAGTGATATGCACTGTCTCGAGCTCTTTCACACCTCATTCAGAACTGCGTCCGTATCAGTTTCTAAGACAGTTACAGTCGTCGAGTCTGCCCTGCAGCCAGTCTACTCTGAGGATTTTTACTATCACCCGAATGTCAACAGATGTTCGTGGAACTACCAATTGTCCATATTGACGGCTGTGACAGAATATACATGTGCTCCATTTCTTTCCGACAATGGTTTTATTAATAAGGATCATTACACAATCAAAAACCATCAACTTGATGGAATGCTTTAGGTAGTTTTGTGATGCGTTTCATCATTTGCAAGTAACTTTCACGTCTTTTTTTCCAAAATTCAATAAGTACTGTGAAACCATCCTTTTTTAGTTGCATAATGAAGGAAATTTGCGCAGTTATAACTTGCTCTGCATCTATGCAATTGCTAACCCATATCGCTTCTGTATATCTCGGTAGTCTGCAGACCCTGAGTGATTCCCTGTTTTTAATTGGTAAACCGTCTGGAATGATCCAAGATTAAATATCTGTTCAAATTTATACGCAAATCTGACGAAGCACCTATTTTACGTCATAGTGTTGTTGAAGTCCTGGATTGCAGTTTTCCCAGTTGCTGGATATCATACTGGATTCTTCAATAAGCCAAACTTTTTGAATAGTAACGTCAGCTATGTTTATCGCTTGACGTTCCGTTAGTTGTCAGGATATTCAAGAATAGTATTACAGTTTTAAGGTAAAGCAGAAATTGCACAGAGTCATTTGTTCCGTTTTCTATCGAAAGCTGCTCGACAGGCGCAGACAGCTTAAAGCAAAATTTGAAACGCATTTATGGTCATTGGTTAATTGTGGCCCAAATTACCTACCCTATTGAAAGCCTAAAGCCATTTGGACCAATGAATGGAAGATCTCATACAGAGACTTACGCATTTTTAGTTTTTAGTTTACGTAAGTTAGATGTGTCAGCACGAATAAAAGTTTTGTGAGACAATGTCATATTCTCAACAGCCCTTAAATCTGTAATCCAAGCACCCTTACTTTTGCATTATAAAGAGATTTGAGGCCGTAGTTTTCATAATGGCTGACTGCTTCCCACGGATGCCGGTGGGTCCTGAATGACCATCAACGTACGTTATTTGTCCATCTTCCTCTCGGCCACTCAATGATGCTCGTATCGGATTTCTTGTCAAATGCATTTAGTGCCCTTGGAAAACTTCCCATGAACTCCCTGAAAATTTCGAAGTCACTAGGGCAAGGTCGGCTCGCGGTCGGATGAACCGTTGATATACTGAACACTTTGGGATCCCAACCTACTTTTCAATCATGACTGTCAAACCTTTTGGCAAGAAACATATGTCCGCCCCAGTAGATGAGTTGTCTCACCCGCGAATACGAGCGTTTGCAAAGAATGCATACTTTACCCACTCGCCTTACCCTAATCAGTTATTTTTCTTTCTTGCAAATCTCCACGGAAATTACATATCATTTCAATCCACTCTCTGTTATTCTCCGTCTCGCCCAGGAAAGCTCCGACTACCGTAAAAATCGATCGAGATCGTAATATTATAAGTGAGTCTTGTCTTTAATGTCGAGGTTCCACCAAATATTAGATTTTCAATTTCACAAGTATCGCTATATTTAATCAATAAGTTAAAAGGATGATAGAAATGTTCGAAGAATTTTTACTTGAGATTCACTGATGAAAGATCACTGAATGGATTTTAATTAACAATGATTGTTAACTGACTTATGAAACGGTAGTTGTGGAAGAGAAGCAGCAGTCAAATAATCGACAAAATCATTCTGACTACACCTGTAATTTATACATATTTTCGATGGATATGTTGTGTCAGATAACAATATAGAGCGATTTGTCTAAGTTCGGCCCTTCAGTAGTGGCAGAACGATAAGGTCTATTAAAATCATATTTACTTTGGGTTAGACTGCAATGTACACAGAGAGTGGTCACAGTTAAATAACCCTCTTGATTACAAATAATATAGCTGGTTACAATGATTTGAAACATTTGCAGGTTTTTAGTTCCATTTTTGTCTCAACGTGGTGGCATTGATTACGATTCAGCAGTGAATATTCCCCGGATGGAAGGCACTAAACGTCTCTGATGGACACAACACTCTGCTAGCCAGGTTGCTTCTGGTTTTCTATAACACGCAAGTCTTTCTTCGCATTTCAGCAAGATGAATTTCCAATAATTACCCATTTATTTTTTATTCATTGGCTACGGACACGACGCCGAGTTTGTTGCAAGGTGCAAAGCACCCACCCGTTCAAGCGTCACACTATCAGTCATGTTGTCATGGTGACTGCGCATTCAAGGAGGTTATACAACTTTCATATTTCTCACTCCGATTTAGAATACATTTTGTTCCACTTAAATTGAGTGTTATGTGTGTGAATGTATGTGTAAACCTCCACTGATTGTACCACAGGTCATTGGTGATCACATGGTTCAAACCGCTCCGCCGCTGCCCGTCTTCCGCTGTATTTTTTCATGCAGTTTTGTATGACCGCGACTCCAGTCAAAAGGGAAGTGAAAAGACATTTTTTAACATATATTTGCTACTTTCCAGTGACATTTCCAGCTGTGTTGAAATGAACATTTTTATACTGACAGGATCTCTAAAACACATCTCTACATACAGTGTCATCGCTGGAGATGAACTAGCAAACTTCCCCGGACAGACACCTACAAGCATGTATTGTAACCAAATATTCGCAAACACTCATCACTCATTACACAATAAACTTTCCGAAGCTCAAAAGGCATCATTCGGATGCTTCAAGTTCTATTCATATTTTAATTCTGTTTTATCGAATATCGCCCTTATAATAGTTGACAAACAGAAAGTTTCCGCAGAATTCTACATTTGCTTGCTTTGTTAACTAGGGTTATATCTAGTAACCGTGTTTTAGTTATCCATGGCTTTGTAAATTAACATTCAAAAATATGATCTAAAATGATGAAAATTACTCCATGTGAATGCATAGAACTACTACGGACCCTAATTCAATTGGTTTTTTTCATCTATATGGTATTACCTAATTTTGCGTGCTGATCCTTGAACGTGAAGAAACGTCGGCTACTACCTACCGTAACGCACTTCAGAGCGGGACCCCGAGCTCTCAAAACAACCAAGTTACCGCTGGTTAAAGCGGAAAACTTGTGGTTGTTTTAGATAGTTATTGAGGTACCGTAACGTCTCGGTACCGGCTAACCGGCTACGTTTGCGTTGAAGGATGAAGGCACGAGAACCAACGAGCGCGATAAGGAGCAAAACGGATGAGAAGGAACAGAAAGAGGGAATTTAAAGTTCTCTCTCGAAAGGCTGCAGGAGTTTTTGATTGTATAAAACAAACGTCAAATGGAGTTGGTAATGAAGTGAATATGTGAACGAACATTTAGATTGTAGAAAGAAATGATGTCCGGCAAAAGTCTGATTTGGTCCGGCTTTCACCGTGCCATCAACCAAATTACAAACGTCTATCATCTTTCAATTGAGTAGATGTGCATTACGATTATTGGGTGGAAACTTAATTTCGACTGATTCACTTTTTTTAATGCATCCGCAGGTTGCTAGGTTTGAGCATGACTCTTTCAATCAGCGAGAATAATGGATTCCAGTGTTAAAAACTGCTAAAGTATTATTGTTTATGTTCCTTTGGCGCTCTTATCGCTGAGGTTTGGCATGTATGCTTGGTTACCATCTTGACTGACCATGCTCAGGATTGAAGAGGTTTCTTTCTGTGAACATTGGCGATATGTACTTTTGGCAATTACACTCTCGCCGTTGTCTGCAGACTATGCTTACGGGGAAAAAGAATATTTTGATCCAGAATACAATAACAACAACAACGATAATAATATGTTTAATTTGCCTGCGGTTATTTTTAACCTTGCACTGGATTATTTTTCACATTTGCTAAACTGCTTTTAGCAACACATTGCGTTACGTGTGTCTCGCATAAACTCACAAGTCGCATACGAATAACCATGTAATGTTTCCCAGTTTAGCATCGATAATGCATTGACCACACATTGGCCATGCAAAACCAACATCCCGAAATACCTGACCGGTTGAATGGATAACATTCAATAATCCAAGATTTAAAGGGTTTCATCAAAAGTTAAAAAATAAAATATCTACTGAAAATAATTAATTGTACGCAAGTTCATTCTCAGTTTGAGATAACCATTCCGTAGTTCTGATTGGTGGATATTAGTTCACAATTACTCAAAATGTCTTTTATCTGATTGGTTCCGGCGTGCTAAGCAGCTGTGTAGTAGACAAATCCATCCTTTTTGATACGTGGTACAACTGGAAAACATCAGTCTCATTGGAAATGTGAATCTGTGCGTTTGTGTTATTCGAAATCGATGGCATCGACCACAAACAATTCTTTCACGAAATTTCCCCGTCGCACTTCTGTCACACCTGCTGCCACTCAGTTCTCTCGTTCATCGACCGATGCAGCCACCGGTGGACGAAGCACCTCATTCAATCGACGCTCAAGCAGTCAAAATGCAGATTCCGGTTTCTCTCCGGCCGATAAATTACGACGCATGTCCATGTTGTTTTCTATTGATAAAACTCGTACACGAGATGCCATCCTCGCGGCTTTAGAGGACCCCGCTCGGACGGAATATCGACGACTCAAATACCAGAACGAACATTTGCTTACCGAATGGAAACAGTTAAAGAAGTTTATTGAACAACTACAAACGGACTACGAGTCCTCACGTCAATTGGATCCTTTTAGACGATTCAAACAACTGCAAGCTATGACTAAAAGAACTGTGATGCATTTGCGACTCACTGAAGTGGGAAGCGTGAACACGGATTCCTCTCTGACCTCGGAGGTTGCACTGCAGGGCAGTGTGGTTCAGAGCGAGGCAAAAGAACGTGAAATTGAAAAACGCATCACTCAGCTCTGTGACAGTAAGTGTATTTGCCAGTGTTTTATGAGTTGATTTCAGTTTATTAAAATTCGCAACCCTGAAGAAATGATTAGTCAATGTAAAAACGTCGAATTTTCATACACGTCACTGTTGTTTGTTGATTAATGCCATGTACACTGGTGTCTATAATCTAAGTATTTCAATATGACTATTGTACCGCAAAATAACTTGAGAAACTAATTTGTATATATAAAATCCAAAACATGTTTGAATAATCAAATCGTCCAAGGTGTATAAATGAGTTTGCGACATATTTGAGTATAATAAGACCGAGGATTCGTAGTTATCCTTGAAGATCATTTTAGCCGATCCAAAAGGGACCGCGAAGGATAGTGACACACGGATTATCACTGCTCATAAATTTGTTAATATTAATTTCATTCGTTAGTTATTGGTCGCTGGAACCTGATACCAAAAGGATACCAAAAGGAACAGTAACGATCACGTTAGTGTTCCTACTGGTATATTTACTCCGGATCTAATGTATGTATTGTATCAGCCCCAACATGCTAGACAGATTTGATATATTCCCCAATGGAACCGTTTGTTGATTAAACCAGGCCCAGAGTGAGACAGATCTGTCGCTTACGGAAATGTGTCATACATACTTGATGATCACATTGAAACTATCTGAGTCGCTGTGTACTTTTCAGTTGGTTGTTCTCCGCCTATTCTGGCTCTGGTAAGGATGATGTCACGAGGTGGTTATCGGTTCTTCGCAATTTAATTTTACGCTGCAGTTTGTTTGAGAATATATTCGTTTTGTAATATTTACGGGCGCGCCAACTAAGCTGAGTAGGAACGCAACACAAAACGGATTCGCAACAGCTGCTCCAGATGTGTCACTCGGTTGCAAATCGCAGAGTCCGCAGAGTATGCACGCTTCCTGGGTGTCCGTGGATTAAATGGAGGGCAAGATGTTTATCACGTCTGGTTGCACAAACTCATTTGAGTCCACATAAATGTCCGATTTACATTTGGCTACTTAAAGCCCCTTCGTTATAGCTTCTAGCCTGAATAAACTAAATATGTGAATGTTTAACAGACCATTATTGCATAACTACGATGAACCGCTTTTATGAGCTTGTAAACAGTTTTGTTGTAGTATTTTGTTTGAACACAAAACAAAAGACTCAAGTTTATCGTAAGATAACTCGCGTCTTCAAAATGTTTAGTTTATCTGCCTTAGATAATTCTGAAAGATCGAGGAAGCACTGTGCCGTTTTTTGTTTGTCAACAATCACCATTGGTGCACATTCAGTAAACTCATTTTAGTTCAGATGAGGCACATATTACACCTTTAGCCTCCACGGTCCACCCGATCACTGTGGTCCTGTTTGGTCATTTCCATCTGGCTTTATCCAAGCCCCAAATTATATGGAGCCTTACGGTCATAACCAGATTTTGTCAAACAATGGTTGATCCTGTGAGGCATGAATTTTATTTTTACCTAACAGAACATTTGTGCCTAATTACTATGAATTTTTCCAACCTTTCTTACATTGTCTTGCAATAAAAGAACTATGATGGCAAATCTGGTTCACTAGCTGTTCTCTCATGTGTAAAGGACCAAAGGGAACCGTATCGATTAATGCATTTAAGCTACTACTACTACTACTACTACTACCTCTACTACTACTACTAAACAACAAATTTTGCTCTAGATGGCGCAAGCTACGCAAATGTAAGCTCTGACGGTACTTAGCTGTTTAAATACTC